CAGAAGAAGAAGAAGAAGAAGAAGAAGAAGAAGAAGAAGAAGAAGAAGAAGAAGAAGAAGAAGAAGAAGAAGAAGAAGAAGAAGAAGAAGAAGAAGAAGAAGAAAAAGAAGAAGAAGAACAAAAAACAATGACCGAAAAAGTAAACCATAGTTACCGACTTTAAATTACATTTATAGTTTCTTTTGAGCTTTCAGTCATCCATCGTTTAGTCATCGAAACAGCAAATCATTGTGCGTTTTTTTTTACATCAAAGTTTATGTTTTCAATGTTATTGTACTTATACAATATATGTGTAATCTACCCTTTATCGTTGTGGAAGGTAATGTAGTTCCTGTGTACACCAGGTCGATAAGGAACAAATCGAAGACATGTGTACTTATTGAACGCTGCAACTGCTGCCAAGACGTTTTGCGTAATGTAGGCTGAAAATGTTAAAATAAAAGGAATTTTCCACATTTTTGYAAATCTTATGGCTCAACATAGTTTAGATAATATAGTATGAAGTAGTAGACGARCCAACAACAACCTTGGCATGCAATTTGATTTTTGAAATACACTAAAGAATCCTCTGCAAAACAAAGGTGTTGGCGGGTCGCATATGGRTGTAGAAAAATAAACATTATCCTGCCGCTAAATCCGCTACTCGCTGCTCTCGGTTCGTAAGGCCTGACTTTACACCAAATTTCCATCTATATACCGAATAAAGAAAATGTTCTCGTTATTACGAAAAGCGCAATAAAACTTGTAATGGGTGCTAATTTTTGATGGTGTTTCATGAGCTGTTTACTCACACATAAATGCAGGTATCTTATAAGGGATGACTTTTGAGCTCCAAATCCTCTTTTTTGCCCTTATCGCGTTTCTTTTAGTCATGGATCTGACAGGCATGTGAAGATATCTCTCTAGGTCCTCATCTAATTGAATATCACCCTGATATAGGTTCAGATGCTTACCTGTTAAATTCAATAAAAAAACGAAAACAATTATTATTTTATTTTGATATATATTCCCTAGTGAAGACCGTGTGTTTCAGGACCAAAATATTCTGTTGTACGTTCTACCGCAGCTCGCAAGGAATTTTAGTGGTTTCAGAGGGACTGTATCAGCTCTGTACAATCAAGAACTTCAGTGGAAARTGAATGCTTAAAATAGTCACGCAGTTTACCCTCATTCACGTTCTCTATATTTCCAAAAGTACTTCCTGGCCTGGGGCTGAATTTCAGTCTTCTCTTTCCCAAAGTAGCCATGTTGATGGCTATGATTCTTCCATGGACAGATTTGTATTCTGATAAAACAAAATTGATCGTTTTCAACCATTCCCATGAGATTCAGGAGATAAAAGAACGGCGGCMATGTTAAGTTGTGAAATGAACAATAGATGTTAATGGGAAATCCTTCGTTGAAGGTTCTCCAGCATGGCTGCTGTGACCTAACTTGAAAACGAAGAATATCAAGAAAAAATTGAACCAAAGCACTGGTCGATATCTTGGTCCTTTTTCTCGTATGTGTGATTTTTTGAGACACTATATATTTATAAATCAGCAAAAAGGTATGTTTATTACTATTGATCGTTTTCACCTACTCCATGAGATTCAAAAGATAAAAGACCGGCGGAGCCCTATGTTGTTGGAAGAATGAACAATAGATACTGATGAGAAATCCTTTGTTAAAGTTCCTTCAAGATGGCCGCTGTGACGTATAGTGGAAACGAAGAATATAGCTTCGTACCGCACAGAAATTGTACGGCACTCGTCAAATAAACAGCCAAATTTTGAATTATTTCAAGTTAACTTTACTTTATATGCCTAGCATCCGCGTCACGCGATTCATTTAATATATCGTATATCAATTAGTAACGTTGTAAATAATTCAAAATTTGGCTGTATATCTGACGAGAGTGTCGTGCAATTTCTGTGCGGTTCGAAATTATATAGTAATACTATATAAAGTCCCAACAAACCGAACAAACCTCTGTTTGCAATTTCCATAAGTTCTTGACCTTTAGGCAATTTTTCCTGTTGACGATTATCTGAAGAATGATAATTTTAATGAACCGATTATTTCTAATCTASGTCCATCCAATTCGTGATGCCAGTAGATAGTTCGGAGAGAACGAACATAACGGAAGCTWCATACATCAAGTATTCTCGTAAAGAAACGTTAATGGCCCAAAAACAGCGCGSGAGGCCGTATACYTGTAACGGCTTCGCTTTGCTGAAACCGTTTCTTTTCAACTGWAATTAAGTTTATATWTAATTAAGCTGGAGTTTTTATTTAATTATTGGCCAAAGCTAGAGTTGAAAATTGTTAGTGTAAAATATATCCATCATTGTTYAGTAGCGCTTTGAATAATCTTACTCATATCAAATCCAAGACCTTACTGATAAGCTAACCGATAAGTTTAGCGAGATAGTGTACAAGAATGAAATCAAAAACTTGCACCCGCTGGATAGTTTSTCTTTAGCTTTGAAACATGTATTGCAATATGTTGAACAGCAAATAATATGTTATAAATTCATAAATTTTAAAGCATTGCATACACGTATCMTTAAATAGTTCGTGTATGGAACTATACTGACCTTCAGTTCGTTCAGTGAATACATCTTGTGCAGTCTCAAGATCAGCCATTGATTTAGCTAAGAAAGTTTCTTTACAGTATAGCAACATAAACATTACCAAAACATCACGAGGAACCATTTCGATGATATTTGCAGAAGACGTTGGGTACTTATTCGAGTCTGAGTCATCTAACGATGGACACAGCTTTTAAGTACTTATTAATACTCTCTATGACCGTTAGAAATTTGATATGTCAATGAAATCGTGCGCGGGCAATTAAAAAAGTCTTTCTGAGTGAACAAATAGYGTACATAAACTTAAAATGTTCAATTGATTTCGTACAGCGCGCGATCCTGATTAATCATTTTCGCACATCTGTGCCTTGCATTCTGAAAAGGCAGCAAATTGAATTTCGCCAGTCAAATGTTAATATATAWTTTTTATATACAAAGCGTGTATTTATACCATATTATTCAGTCAAAGGATATACGGGAGATGTGTAGTAAATGCAGAATAACTATAGAACTTTCCAAAGAGAAACCCCGTGGCATTAATTCACTTTTACGTCAAATACGCATGGAARTTTTTATTACTTTTCCATAAAAAGCCAGACGAATGTGAAAGAACAAGTGGATAGAGCTAGTAGATAAAAGAAAAAAACTCTGAAACATCAGCTTTGGCTCKGCTGGTGTACGGTATTTGCTATTTAGGAGCTAATCCGAAATTAGAAGTCCACTAGCAGGTGCTTTTTGATAGTATATTGAAAGTATTTTGTATTCAATATGTGAGAGAAAAATGATGCCAAGTCTTGTCTGACGATACATTTTATAGCCAAACGYATTTCTTTTTATAATTTCCAGAAAAAGCGAAATTTTAGTTGGACGATATGATTGACCATCAGATATACCTTCAGAATTGGTTAAAACAATGTTTCTTCGATGTAGGACCGCCATTTCATTTCCCTTACGATTATCTAATTTTAGAAAAGTCACTCAAAAGRAGTAGGTGGGAATAGTTAGATTGAAGCTGAACTTCTCCGTGTAGATTGCAGATAAGCATGAGTAATGTACCTTTTAATATACCTTTTAATTTTTAAAAAATAACGCAACACATTTAATTTTGAAATGACATGTTTTGACTTTCATAAAGCCATCTTCAGTTTGAACATGATTACATTTTACAATCAGTTATATAGTAGTTATAGATAATTGTAATTCTTAGGCGCGACAAAGGTAATTGGTTTAAACTAACGAAGGGTGTTTTARGGTGCGTATTGGGGTGTCKGTTATCGAGGAGTAGTTTAGATGGATTTGGTGCAATATTACAATGATGTAAGCTACGTTGGGATATCCTAAGCGATAACGTGSAAACTCAAATAAGGTGCCTTGTAGTCTCGTTGTACTGTCAAACTAAATTCGGAAAGCTTAATGGAATATTCAAATTAATATAAGAAGTCACACTGAGCTGTAACTATAGACATGGCATAGTTAGAGTACATAACTCTACGTTAGTTAATAATTCATAATTAAAAGCGAGAYAGTGTGGAAAACTRTTGTRGCACAAGTTATATAAGTTACTAAAACAAAGTTATTAGGAAGTAAATATCTTAGAATCTTATGAGATCTTGAAACAGCTAATAGAAACGTGTCGTGTGCTAAAAAGATATAGTATTTATGTCTAATCACAATTATGTCGATAAAAGTATTTGTTCTACTAATGTAAAGGGCCAGTGGAGCTTCAACGGTAACTTAGTGACCGACTATAACACTGTTATTAAGATRATATTATAGGCGTTCTGAGGAAACTAGGTGAAGTTAAGAAGCCAAAAGAAAGTGGAATCGTTATGCGACTAATGTTGAATAACAAGCCCTTTGCAGCTGTGGGTCAAGTGACCACACCTACCTTAAAATAATCAGTTTTCAAAAAATGATGTTCAGAAATGGAAAGAGCAGGTTTATGTTGGTAAATCGCAAAATCTCAAGTCTCAACTCTAAATACTTCAAAAATGACACAAATGTAATCAAAATGTCAATTTATATTTTATGTTATTTTACTATATTATATTAACTACTTCTTACCATTGGAGTGGCTCGAAACGGTGACCTTTGGGTTGAGAGTCCAGTGCGTAACCAACTTAGCTAGTGATGATTTTGTTGAAAGTATTGGGTTTGACGTATTATTTATATTTCTCCTTGTGGCTATGTTAACTTATTACACGTAGAAAATCGATAGATCTATATTTGCTAAAGAAGCGATTATACTTTATAGTTTACTGATCTTTTATTCTTTATATTTATTTCATGAATATTTCATTCATATTTGAACATACATATTTCTTATTGAGGTTTTTTGTAATACACATTTACGACAAATTGATCACTGGGTTTACTGGAGCATTKGATGATATGYRTTTCTCCCTCTTGTCGCCTGCTGACCGGCCGGGTACTGTTAATGTACTCGTGGGTATGGTCATGGTCGAACCCACAGGCTGCGATCCGACATGTCCGAGAACGTTTGACACTATCTTGCATACGTTTGTACTTGGTTTTTCGTAATGTCTACACATTTGCCACGACATTAAAATTTCCACGGCCCACTTTTGTATTGTAGATTGTGCCGTAGCTTTTGACAATAACTCACCATCTTCTTCTCGAGTTGTTGGATCTCGAAAGCTACACGCGGAGGTTGCCTCCGCCATTACAACTTATGAAATTGAACTGAATAAACAGAACTACTACAAATTTATTACAAATCTCTCTCCTTTGGGGTTTATATATATAATAGCGATTGATGATGCCACTTTCATTCTATTCATACCCAAAATAGGACTGATGAATAAATCCAATTACGGTCTTTAAGGAATTTGCCAGCTGAAGTCATTCATTATCAATTTGTTTGAGAAATCAGATCAAAAACTCGTGCTTCGTGTTTCATCAGGGGAATCCAAACATCTCGAAACGCTAAAAGCACTTGGCCTTCGGCCGCGTGCTTTCATCTGTTTCTCGGTGTTTGGATCCCCTGATGAAACACTCGCACTCGTTTTTGATCTATTACTTCTTACTTATTTTGATCCCCTCTTCCATTTCTGAACATCATTTTGTCATTGCTGATTGATTTAAGGTTGGTGTGGTCACGTGACCCTCAGCTGCAGAGGGCCTATTATTACATCTGTCCGTATGTATGGACTAGTCCTAAATTATCAAAAAATAAATGAATAAACAAATAAATTACAATACGATTTGGTATTACTATTTATTTCAATCAATCTAATATAAGTCTGTATGTACAATCATATTTTAAGTGACATATGTCAAATATGTGCTTACTAGAACAGGGATGACAGGGTTTGCCTCTTGTAGTGACTACGGAGAAGATATGGATGATATTTTAAAAACATTGAAAAGAAGATGGTTATGCAGGAGTATATTGCACAAGTTGTATTAAAAATAACAGAGCAAGATAAAAAAAAGAAAAYTGAATGACTTTGCTTATCAGAAACCCTTGCGAAAAACCCTAGTAAAGCTATATACAATTTTTAACWTGATTCTGTCACTTTACATATCTTTTTCTGCCCCCAACTTTAAATCCTCCAACTTCGCTTTTCTATTCCTAATCATCAGAATCATTGACGTTTCCTCAACCCTCAACTGATAGCTAAACAAAGACTGCTGTTATGCTCTGTAAAGCGGTTATACTTTTTCCTTCACGTAATACTGACCAATAGGATACTAAAATGATGATCTTTGAGAATGAGGATTACCTTAACATATGTTGCAGCTTTTGGGGCAATGTTTATACATCCAAACCTTGTTTTTCCTACACTCTCCATCCTTGGCCCACTGTGGGCATTTTTTCTTCCATGAATTTGAATCAGAGCACTGAGGAACTGCAGTGAATAAAGGATCATTAGAAAGTCTAACCCTAACTAAACACTCGCTCATATCAAGCTTTCCCACAGCGTGTCAAAAACTGGATCACAAGACTTCCATAGTTCAGTTTGTTACTTTTACTGTACGTAAGTAGTATTTAAAAAGTATTTGTCGAGATGTTTCTGATGGCTTTCAATATAGACCAGAAATTATAMGAGACACAAGAAATCCTCAGCTTATCTCTTTACATTGCTGTTGTTCATCAAGTTCAGCGTTGTTCTCGTTTTTCTGAACTTGTCTGAGCAACTTGTCGAGCAGCAGAAAACAGGCCTTTGAAACTGACGCTAAGATTGGACAGCAGTGTTGACCGACAGATTCTTGAGGATTTTTTTTGGTATTATTTCTCGTATTTCGCGGATAAAATCGACACCATCCTCCATCTTTTGAATAAGTACTAGATACCAAGTTATATTCTGATACCTTTGCATATWCTGCAGCTCTTAGGACAGTGTTTATGCATGTAGTCCTTGTTTTTACTGCATTCCCCTTTCTTTGCCCATATCGAACATTGAACCTCGTTTGAGTCTTTGCACTCAGGAACTGGTAAAAGGAAAAATGGTTTCTTTTGAGATCATCATGTTTCTAAAAGATGATCTTAATTGTACCAAACACTAACCTGAGCAAATTCCGCAGCTAAGTGGACATTTCTTATGCATAAAGACTTTGTTTTTATTACATTCTCCTTTCTCGGCCCATATCACACATTGTCCTCTTTTCCAGTCTGCACAGTTTATCAACGCTGTTGAAAGAATAATTTGGCCAGAAATTTAAAACTGGCCAAGATTGAGAGAAATCCGTTCAAATGGTAAGGTTTCGAAGTGATAACCTGAGGCTTCTGACTGTCTGCAAGGTCTCGAATGGGTGAATGAGATAACTGTGAAAAGATAACCCACCAGGGCAGATCTTGCAGCTTCTTTTGCAGTTTTTTGCCATCCACTTCTTGTTCTTTTGACATTCCCCTTCTATTGACCATTTGACGCAAGTAGGGTACTTGTCTTGGCAAGCTGATGAGATGAAAGGGGAAGTTTTTATGTAGTATATATTCTATAAGAGCAGGACAGGTAGCGCTTAAATACATTATGCACGTGCCTACGTGAGCATTTAGTGTTCTTTGAGTTATTTTATGGGGTATAAAATATGTCGGTCGCTTTTGAAGATCTTTGGTTYTCAATTGTTAGATGACGTCTTTTTATTAGCTTTATTAACTTTTTATAAACGGTTCTAATATTTTGCATTAATATGTTTTTCTTCTAAGACGTCACTATTGCGCCAGGAATTGTAAGTTCAGGGAAATCTYAACACCAACGAAGCGTTATTCAGTGATAGTGAGCAGTTAATGTATAATATGTCAGTGTCCACTTACAGCATCTCCCCTCGTCAATATATACGTCGTCAATAGCAATGTCCGAGTAGCCACGCTGACCAACTGTTGCAATGAATTCAATCTGAAAATCATAATTTCTATTTTCTATAATATTACTGAGAAGTGGGATTTTTCACTAACTCACCACATATTTTCCCGGAACATCCAAATCTGCGGCGGCCAACTSCCAAGCTTGACCCTGGTCGCCTCTCTTGTAAAACAGTGTTTTGTACTTTTTACCACGTTTGTTCAGCCTAACTTCAAGAGATCCTATAGTTCTACCATACATTGAATAATAGAACTTCAGACACTGGCCGCCTGGTAGATATGTTAATGTTTTGCTGATAAGCTTTGCTTGTTTGTTTGCGGTTCCTGGTCCTGATGATTCCATGTACAGATARTAACCTGGAAGAAAAGGGGAAACGTCATTTGACTTTGAGAATTACTTCTGGGTTTTGAATTGCAATGYTCCTCTTGTCATCTAAGAGTGATGGCAGSAATATTATTGTTATTACAATGAYGCAATAACCTGAATGTATACCTGAGGGATTGCCAAAAGTATGATCATACATTGGACCAGTGTTCATTGTCTGTGAGTATAGCCTGTGACGTATCCACTTTAGTTGTGCACCAGGTTTATTTCTCCAAATACCAAAGGGGCTCTTAGGGTTATCGAAATCCGTGTCATCAGGACCTAAAAATTAAACACACTTAAAATATCCATTTGAGTCAAAATAGAAATGTTTGCTAAAATCTCAGCTGTGGAAGTCGATCTGCAACTTTCTGCAACTAATCGGGCTACAGCTTCCAGAAAAGTAAATTCAAATTAATTTCAACAGATGTCGTGTATCTGTAAATACTCACCAGGATGACACCGGCGGGCAGTGCACAAGTCTGTTTCTTTCGATTTGCCAGGACATGGCATACCATATTTAGAAGGAGCTGGGTCATTACAATACCTTTTACGTGATCGTACGCCATCGTTACATTTAGCGCTGCAGTCTGACCACTTGCTCCAATGCCCCCAATGACCATTGATTGAATTGCGTGCTGTGGAAAATATTAAGGAACTCAAGCTACGAGATGGATTTCTACGAGTGCAAGTATGCAGTGCGAGTACGAATTTCAAAATCTGCGTTGTTGTTGTTTCTGGTCAAACCGTAGTTACATTCTCGCTCATTTAATATTTTAAGAGACGTTAAGAACGATGGAATCACATACTACCAAGATTAGAATGCCTTTTCCACTTTCTTTTCTAATCAAATTGGTCTCTATTGTTTTATACTTACCTCCAAAAGGATTAAAAATCTGATTAGCAATGAAATTACGCAGAGCATATTGGTAGTGGTAGTAAAATGATGTCATGATCTATTTTTATGTAGTGCTGCAATTCAGCATCGAAAATCTCATTCCAATCTACTTCCTAACAAAGATTTCATATATAGGGAGTTTCTTTTTCTAAGCTTTAAGAAAGTTTCAGTAAAAGTACCGTAAATCGTTAAGACATTTGGTGTCCTCTTGGACACTACAGAATGATAAATAATGAATGGTAAATTAAAGATTATCTGGTATTAGATCTAAAAATGGACTTTAATAGAAAATAAAATAAAATAGAACATCAATACTTTGTTGTTGCGTCTTGAACCTACTAGTTGGTTCATGGATAGACATATTATGTTTAGACCACGTAGATGAGCCAACACAGTGATCGCGATAGGCAGCAGACCAATCTTGGGGTCAGGGATCAGAATTGAAGCTTTGTGGTCGTGATCACAGCTGTTGGACACACTCTAATGATATTTTGAAGAAGATCAGGATTGGGGATTTGATTTTAAAATGACAGAGGATCGCTCAGTTTTGGAGATCGTGGATGGATTGAGAAAAGGAACTTGGGATAAGGGACCAATCTTTTTGTGCAAGAAAAATAAATCGGATATATCGGCTTGTCACGACCTTTTTTTCCAGGAAAAGAGTTGGACCGCAATTGATTCGGAATAGACTACTAAGAGATTATGTTCACTCACCGAGGCAYTCTCTTTCAGTGCATTTCACACGATCCTTCTCAATGCCATACATATTGACTTTTCCTTTACAGTACTTTGGGTCGTTTGGATGGTAGCAGAAACGCTCTCGAGTTCTGTAGCATTTTTTGTTACATGGTGTATACTCAGACCAGGTAGACCACCCATATTGTTTTTCTGTTTCTATACACAATCGAAAATTAAAAAAACATAAAAAACATTTAATTAATAACATTCTATTTTGAGAAGAGGATTTCGAAAAGAATATATAAATYTCGTTCACGAGACAAGAGAATTTTTCCAACTTAAAGAAATTCGTCACAAGCAAACTAACATTACAAGTTAGAAGTCACCAATCTTGCATCCAGATACTTCTCAATTTCCAGACTGAAAATCTGGGTCTAAAAATCTATACTGATGGCCTGGGGCGTGGAAAGTTTTGAACCAATCAAACCAACGACTTATTTTTCCAACCAGAGACTTTGATTTTTCCTTTAGGAAACTGAGAAGAATGTGGGTACAAAAATGACAAAATCGGCAAAATCAGAAAAGAGGGGAGATGTAATTGTAGAAGAAAAATGACATAGAGCAAGTGGTAGCAGGATCTTTTGTCAGTACAAGGTTCTTGGATACATTAAGGCCTAAGAGCAAAGATGAGTCATTTAAAAAAGGCTTACTTTTACATTCATACAGTTCATTTATCTCAATGATATCCTTAGGACTGAAAGACCTTTTCTTGGTTCCAAATTTGCGTTTTTCATCACCAATGGCCACAATAGTTGGCTTGCCATTTCTGGAAAATGCCTTTCGATCATAATGCATTATGGACTCGTAGTCATAGGATTTGCCTAAAGTGTCGATGTCCATCCATTTGTATTTTTCAAATTGATCGGAGAATCCTAAGGGAAACAGGATTTAGATCACATGCCATACTTCACAYATAACTAAACATGAAATTATAATTAAAGACAAGCTCAACTTGCTTATAATTCCTATGTTTGTTCGAATTATTTATTTAAAACATCGGGTATCATATAAGTGTCAATGACATTTTAATAATATTCTTGCATTCGTGAGGTTTCGTTTAACTCAATGTATTGCTCGTTTTCAATAATTCTGGTTAGATTCAAAAGACAAACAAAGGATCTGTGGCCATGTTGGTTGAATAAACAATAGATGATACTAATGCAAATAAATTTGTTGAAGCTCATCCAAGATGGCCACTGTGACGTATAAGGCAAATAAAGAATAGCTTTGGAGGCTTTGTTAAGATATAGCAATAGACATCGAGCCAGTCTAGTGTCAATAAAGTGGTAAACGATGCCTACTGCGCTACATGCATTATGGCTTCCTGTAAACAGGACAGAAAAACAGCACCAGASGGCCGTACTGGAAAAAAATTCGATACGATATAAAAAGTATGGAAATATATCCACAATAATATCCACAATCGCTTTGTAATAAAAAATGTTTTTTTCCTCTTACCTTTAAGTATGTTTTCCCAATATATCTTAACATATTTATCTCGGTCTTCTCTAGCCTGTTCATGAAAAAACCCTAGAAAAAAAGCCTCTAATTTATCTGCACAACCTATGTACCTATCAACCTACAACAAAGTAAAGGAAGTTTTAACCATAGTTGAAACGACAAGAAAGCAAAAAGAATTCTAAATTTAACGTTTGAGTGAAATTAGTCAGTAGTAATAATATAAGCTAATTGATGGTTATATTTTATAAGGTTATGGTGCCTCACCACCTCCTTTTTGGGGTTCAAAACTATTGTCAAACTTTTAATATAATACATAGAAGAATAACAACTCAAATTTAAATGGGTTCTCATTATGAAAAACAATTAAAACAGCGTTCATATTTAATCTAGCAATCAAATAGTTTTCCTTGCGTTATCTCCTTTGTAACGTTCTCGATACGCCATTGTTGTTTTTTACCTGCAAGCTATTTTCAAGAGCTTTATARTGCAAAAGTGAATGACATACTTGGGAAACTCATGACTGACCAACCATCTGTGTCTAGTTCCTCGCCTTATTAATGGTGTGAGCTTAGGATCAAGTTTATTTATAACGATTTTTTTGTAAGTGAGAAAATCGCACACAGGCTCTCGGATGAACGAGGGGCTTTAATATTGGCTTTACTCACCAACTGCGTGTAGTAACTCGTGGATTATAGTACCAGCAAAATTACATCCCCGACCAAGCGATATAGTTTGGCGACCAGGAGCAAAGTATTTTTTTCCAATCCTTGAAGAGCACCTTCAAAATTTAAAGTGTACTCAGTGTAAACTTGCTARGAAAACACTCATAGGTCAACTAAAGCTCTAATAACGTGTTATTTTGACATTTTGATTTATTGTTATTGGTGTTCTTATAAGTCCAATAGAAATATTTCAAAGATAAACGCGCAAACGCAATCACCGAGCTCACGATCGACTGTAACAACTAAGGCTATAACAATTATGTCAAAACACCAAAAATAAAGCACTTCGAGAAAGGCATTAGAATCACGGACGTTTTTTGGTGTAAAAAATTTCATATAGGCCCTATCGGGCTACGTTACCACGTAATGCAAATCCCGTGGGAAAAATAACTTTTKCTTCTAAGAATTCAGTTGTGAAATGAAAATACGACGTACTAATAAATAAACCTTATARCTCCCAGGTGGTTTGAATTGGGTGGAAACGTTTATAGCAACACGCGATAGCCKATTTGGTCTATTGCGAAAGCTTTGCAGCTTTGCAAATATGTTGCAAATTCATTCGAGACATGGAAAAATGTAATATGTACTGAAAAAGTGTACGTKGTTGATATTTAGTATATTCAAGAAAATATAGTTACCCATCTTTATTGTTAAACGTGATGTAGTTTTTATGTAGACCTGGTTGATATCTAACAAAACGAAGGCACGTGTGCTTGTGGAACTGTTTTATTGCACTCAAAAAGTTTCTTCTTATATGAGCTGCAAAGAAGGGAAGTACGATTACGTAAAAAAACTATCAGATCATTACTGTAGGCTCTGCATACTAAGACAGCTTAAGTTCCTTATTGGATTTTCACTAAACCAGGACTATTGAAAATAGACCCCGAGTAGCGTAGCCAATCAGAATATAGGGCTTGCAATAGTAGAATGGTAATGCTAAAACACTTCAAAAATTCAACATTTCTATCGTCGTTTTAACTCAGTCCATGAAAAAACAACTCAATTGTTTGACACTTTCTCTTATTATGGGGCTTTTCTATAAGTATATAAATCGCCGGCCGGTTGTAGTAGAGTTGTCGTATTAAAGTATACATGACACCATTTATAGAAATTCATTCTCATCCAAAAGAGAAAATGCTGCTAAGTACATCTGTGAAGAAAGAATTTGATTTTTAATTGTATTTTTCTAATTCATAGTCAATTGAAACTTTTAGTGGAAAATACAAATGAAGTGACGTCTACTACGGAATGATTTAATGGCAAAATCATCAAAGAGGACGTTATTCTTTTTGTTACATTGGGAAAAGATTGTCACCTCCCAATTTTTTGTATGATTGATGATTTGTGCTCTTCAACCAAGAACATCATAAATGTAAAAAGTCAGGACCAATTCCTTTGTTGACTTCACTTCATTTAAATTTTAACTGTCTAGAACTCAGAGAATACTCAACAATTCACAATCTATTTCTTTCTTAACAGAAGTGCTTGCCAAAGTGTTATACCTTTCGGATAAAAGCGATTTTCTAAAAGGTGACACTGGTRACTATTGGAGCAGTTTTTGCGTATCACGATAGCATCACGATAAATTTTCAAACTTTTGCGATAGTACTCAATCAATACTTCAGCAATAATATAATAATAAAAGAAATTCTTTCTTGTACTTGAACAGGACTGCATGGATTGCCCCGCATATAGCAATACTGCAGTTTAGTTAACAGACAGTCACATTTGAATGGTGACTTTGTTTACATGTTCTGATGTGCACTTTTTTTCCGGTAACAACTTTTATTTTGCTTAAAATCTTTTTAGATAGAAAGTATTGAATTATTGATAGTTATCGCGATAGTTATCGATAGCGTAGTTTTGCAATCGATGCATGTTRCTGTAGCAGCTTTGACATTGCAATTATTCGATATTTCGATGCATCGTTACACCACATATTCAATGTACATTACGCGCGCTCTTTCTCTCATACATAAAACCTACCCATAAATCCTGGGATAACATAGGGAATTATTCTGGATGTCCATAGCCCACTTCTTGAACGCAGAGCATTTCGCTTTGTAATGGTCCTATTTGGCATGTGAAGGAGTTCTTCTAAGTCTTCATCCAGTTTGATATCACCTTGATATAGGTTAAGATCATCATCTGTAGAATTATATATACAGATATTTCAGAGAGCATTTGCAAAATATAAAAATGTATTTTAATACAGTAGTGCCCATCCCAAATACCTCATGTTTTAAACGAGATGCCTAGGAACTGAATTTTCTTTTTTTACACGATATTGAAAATAGATATATGTTACGTCCGTATAGGAAACACTGCCCGAGGTCTTGACAAGACGGAACAAGCGCAGCGAGGTCCGTACATAAAAGACCGAGGGCAGTGTTTTCCTTTATCATATGAACCGTATTTCGGCCCTACGCGCGCTCTCACTGAAACCTTTGGAAAATGGTCGCGTGATGGGGTCCGTACGCCTTTTCGCGACAGGTCCGTACAAACCCGTATTTTCCCGTCTTGAAGTTCCGCGCGCTATTATTTATTTTTTTACATTAAAAAAACGCTGTCATATGATAAAATGCTTATTGACTGAGTTAGGTCGGGCCGTACGGGAAAATATTTGGCTCTCGGTCGTTTGTACGGACCTCGCTGCGCTCGGTCCGTACGGCATAACCTCGAGCCAAATATTTTCCGGTAGGGCCCTCCCACTAAGTCAATAAGTACATAATACGGACCGACCTATTATAGCCGGTAAATAACATTTTTATTGTTTTATTTGTATTTTATGCAACTTTGCTCGCAGCCTAGCTGCATGATACCGTCGGACCGGGCAGGTCGTGAAAAACCGGACCGCGCGCTAGCCAATCACAGCGCGCGAATAACTAGKATACCGGGCCGAAAAAAAATTATATTATAGATTGAAGACTTAGACATTCCTTGCTGCACCCGCCAAGCATAGTTCTAACCAATTACGGGTAACAGTATTAAAAGTTATTTAACYTAAATAATGTAAATAAAGTATTGTTGTCGTTGTTTTTGAATAGTCGGAATGATTTACTCACGGTCATTAACGTTTTCGATTCTTTCAAATGGATTTTCTGGTCTTCCTTGCAGCCTTCTTTTCCCCAAAGTAGCCATGTTGACAGCTAGGATTCTACCATGAACTGTGTCGTACTCTAAATAAATTGATATAAGATCAATACAGTAGAACCTCGTTTATCCGGAAAACAAAGGAACTTCAACGTGATTAAAGGGGTGTCCGGTTCTCACCTTTGTTTGCAATTTCCTCGATGTCTTGAGCCATATTTCCTAGCAAGGAAAAAAACTTGTAATTGATTTTAAACTAACATCTTCCTCGTCATACATACATACATACATTAATTTTAAGTTACATACATTCATAAGGATTTTGTTCAAAACACACGGGRCATAGGTAGCACACCCTCCCCTCCCCTCTATATTTTACGTTATTTTAAATTGGTATGATGTTATTGAATCGTGAATTTMTCGCTTGGATTGCAATGAAATCACACAAATCTCTCACATCTTGTTATTGATGTAAGCAAAAATTCCCTGGCGAAATTTCCTCCAATGCTTGAGTTTAGATGACTTTTACCCCGCCAAGCAAAGACGTTTATGGTTACATAAAGGACCTGTGCTTCATGTGCATCGAAGCTATGGACTGTCCAATTATAACTAACTTGCAGATAATTCGCTGTCAAGCGTTTATGATCCTCGAACATTATCTATAAGCTCTAATGTTCAGAACATGTAGCGTGATAAGTGATCTTTAATAGGTGATATTTGACATGCGAACTCTTTTCGCCCCGTGTAAGAGAATCCGGAATCCGGAATCCACTAAAAAATCGGCTTTGGAATCCGGAATCCCTATCCTGGAATCCGGAATCCAAATATTTGGAATCCATAATCTGGAATCCAGCAAAAAAATTGATATCTAAAAAACACATAGGACATCGTCCCGCTGACGCCCCTGCGCAGGCTACTGACACGCTGAATATAAACTTTTCAGGAAAAAAATCCCTGAAAATCAGGCCATTTATTATACAGAATCCAAAACAAAAATTCTTTGGAATCCGGAATCCCAAGGCTTGAAATCCGGAATCCAATGTTTCGGAATCCGGAATCCAGCGCTTGGAATCCGGAATCCTCTAGTTCTCTGGATTCTCTTACATGGGGCGACTCTTTTAAAAGTCCGTTATAGTTACAATTCGGTTAAGCGCAATTTTCAATTCAAATCCAAACTTGCGCGCGAAAATTACAGCAATGCATTCTCTAACAGTACTGACGAAGATGTTTACTGAGACATTAGAGATTAGAAAAATAATATTAACCATCTGACTACTGAGAAAAGCTAATCTACGATTTTTCGAAAATTGTATAAAACACCGTTTATGAATGTATTACTACAACCCTATCCGCTTTTACAATGTTGTTTGTCGATGAATTGTTAAGAGATCGCCAAGGATGAGGAAAGSAAMTATTGTGCAACCTTGCAGTGGGGAACAGGGTTGTTCTATTAAATATTTTGCAGAAGATGTAGCATGCTTTACCCGTGGCARACATTGCATAGTGCTACTTAAATCATTTTCATGCTGACGCGAAATGCKYTWTTTACAAATTAGAGAAACAGCTTTGCACAACGCAACTGAGAGGTAGAGYGTCCACATCACTAGCTCGTTACAGTYTTAATAAGATTTGTGTGATAAATCAGACTTAAAATTAAAGAAAATGCAGTCGCGTGAGCTAAATACAATACTTCTGCCTCAGGACGTTGGTTATACTTGATATGTCAACAGATAAACTTTACTCATTCAGCTATAAACTTACCTTTTATAGTTCTTTTGATTGGGTTAGCAAAAGTAGACAGTYTACAGTAAACAATCAGTGGTAATATCATCATAAATAATCGGCAAATCATGTTGCTTCGAGAACAAACATAAAGCAGTGCTCAGTCCTACAGTTTTTGTTGMAATCKAAACGGTGACCGTTATTAGTCTGGAGCCAAAACATTATGTCCGTGAMTGAAGAGACTTGGCKGGAGACAATCAAACTTGAACCTTGTGACCTGAGACACGGGATATGATCASTCTAATAATAGTAAAACCCAGCAGAAATGCAWGACTCCTTTGAATGTGGACTCAAGAATCGGAGTTTTTCCAGAAATAAATATAAAAAATAAAATAAAATAAAAAAAATCCAAATTACTAAATGGGGGTTTTGAATTTTGAGTTAAATAAATACAAAGGTTTTTTTTTGTACCTATATTAATCAGTGATGGTATGGGTTTATACACATGTATTACTCTTCGCGCGCGTTCCATTCTCGTGTTCTTCCTACTTAATTCGCGCTTTTTTATCTGATCAAAGCTGAATCTTCTTTTTAAAATTTTTCCTACAAGAGCTTTGCGCATGCTCACAACCATCTCACAGGGAAAATGATCAGTCTTATGTACTTTTTGACAACGAATCCAAATCAATGTGTGCGTAATATACATACAGATTCTCTTCGTAATAATCACATTGTAAGAAAGTAAGTCGTACGTTTCTTGGGAATGCCTGTCTGGTGGAGTTTTGGACTCGAAGACGACTTTAAAAAAACCGCCGCCTCTTTGCTTCACTCTAATGCAGGAGTTAATAAATGAAATGATCTCTTTTCCTCTTTTTCACGCATGAGGTATTTTCTCAATATTTAATATCTAAATAACCTTGAAGCGCATCATAGAAAGTCCCCTTTTTCTCAGTTTAGGCATTTGATAGATAGTCAGGACATACTGGCCAGATAAACAGTTTTATATTAGAAAAATACTAAGCATAATCGTAATTTATAGTGAAATATTACGTATTTTAAAAATCCTTTTTCCTAACTTCCAAAGCTCTTCATGACCTGGCTCCTATTTATGTTCAAGACATGCTTGTGAAATATCGTTCCCCTCGTTCTCTTCGTTCGTCGTCTCACCTGTTACTGTCTTCAAAGTCACCTCTCAAATGTTATAGTTTTCGTTCACTTAGTGTTGCTGGTCCTGTTCTATCGAATYCACTTCCATCTTCGATGAGAGACATTACTTCACAGGGTGACTTTAAAGCTGCCCTTAAAACTTTTAACAAACCTGATCTCTGACTAACTATCACTAATCTCTATTTTTTTATCTTTTCATTTTTTTMCTTTTTTAAGCGCTTGGAGAAAGCTACATTTTAATAGCGCTATAAAAGCTTTATATATTAAATTATTATTTATTATCATTTTCTTAAATGAGGCGTCGCCTTTTTTGTATTCATTTATAAGGAATGACCATTCGACACTTTTTTTTTCAACCTAAAAACAAATGAAGGTTTATCCGGAAAAACAATAGCATTCTGCCCAATGGCTTTCCCAGCAGTTTTGTGGAAGATTACGTGTATTAAAATCGATYTATAACAGTTCATATACATCTGCTTAAGCTTTTTTGCATTCATAATCTTTGGTCATTGATCATGAAGGACTCATGAAGCACATTTCCAGGTGGATGAGCACCAGTAACAACTTACGACTAAGTTTAGCGCCCTRAACACTCMCTTCCCGTATCGATCGTTTAATATTTGASCGTATCTGCWTTAGTGATATTCATTAATAATTCATAAGTTACACAGCCACTGAGTGACCGCCATTGTAGYCACATGACTACCCTTGTATTCACCAATACAAACTTGCCAAGTGCGGGAAGGGCTCGAATTCAGCGCCAGGGCACTTATTCRAGCAGATACGGTATTCAAACAACACATACAGATTCTAGAATGGATTTGTTTTTGTACAACTGGGATCAGTTGTTCTTTATTCGATACTTGCAAACCTTTTAAACATGCTTGTGCAACTGAATATTCTTGCATTGCTTATAAATACTGCTGAACGTGAATAATTTCTATAGTCTTATGTATGACATGGCTCTTGTGTCTAGCATACTTTTTCTTAGTAACGTTTACATGTGCTAATGGCAATCACATGTCTAAATAAATCTATAACTTCGAAAAGTAAGTATTATGTGAGTATATGACGTTGTTACTAATTTCTATCAATTATTTTTGACTGTGACTTATTGCTTTGGCTTCTGCAAAGGAAAAAAAAGAGAAAAAAAATTATTTATCAATTAAAACATATTTACCATCATCGGTACTGCATTATTAAGGGTACTAGAARACATTTTTCATAATTCATAATTCATGATTCATAACACCTTTTGAGGAAGAAAACAGTTTAGTCTTTCTAGACACTATAATCAAGTTTAATCGTAAGAGACTGGTTTCTTCTAAATAAAGACCCTCTTATGAACATCACCGCACTCTGCTAACGTGCACAATTGATCTTTAGGCCGTTATGTAGACGAAACGAGCTTCCCTATTACAACTTGGGGTTAGAGTCCAGAAAGACTAAACTGTTTGGATTTGCATAATTTTATCGTTTTTTACAACGCTAAGGCCGAGACTCCGGCGGTTCGTAAATCTACAATTGTTGCCAAAATAAAATAGACCATACAATTATTTGTC